GTGACACATCTATACATTAGAGTACTACTCAGTGGTAAAAAACAATGACATCTTGAATTATGCACGCACATGGATGGAATTTGAAAACACTATCCTGAGTTAGATAAAAGACCCAAATACATGAATATTGTATGTACTCACACATCAGTGGATACTAGCCATAAACAAAGGACTTTGAGCCTATAGTTCATGATCCTAGAGAAGCTAAGTAATACGGTGAAGCCAAAGAAAAACATATATAGATTCACCTGAAAATTGGAAGCAGACAAGATCGCCTGACAAAATTTGGGGTATGGAGGTGGGGGGGGGGGTAGTAGAAGAAAGAGGGAAGAGGGGAGAAGAGGAGAGCTTGAGGGAATGGAGATGGAGGAAGGACAGATATGAGAACAAGGAAAGAGATATCCTGATTGAGGAAGCTATTTTGGGGTTAGCAAGAAATCTGGCTCTAGAAATACTCCCAGGAATCCACAAGGATGACCCCACCTAAGACTCTAAGCAATAGAGGAGAGGGTGCCTGAACTGGCCTTGCCCTGTAGTCAGACTGATGATTATCTTAAATATCACCATAGAACATTCATCCAGTAACTGATGGAAACGAGACAGAGACCCCCATCGGAGCACTAGAACCTGGAAACAACCTAGATGTCCATCAATGGAAGAATGGATGAAGAAAGTGTGGAATATATACACATTAGAGTACTACTCAGCGGTAAAAAACAATGACTTCTCAAATTTTGCATGCAAATGGATGGAAATAGAAAATACTATCCTGAGTGAGGTAACCCAGACCCAAAAAGATGAACATGGGATGTACTCACTCATAATTGGTTTCTAGCCATAAATAAAGGTCAGTGAGTCTATAATTGGATATCCTAAAGAAGCTAAATAAGAAGGTGAACCCAAAGAAAATCATATAGCTATCCTCTTGGGTAGGGGAAGTAGACAAGATTGCCAGGCAAAAATCAGGATCTTAAGGGTGGGGGGAGGGGGGTAAGGGGAGAAGGGGAGAGATAAGGTAGAAGGGTAGGATGGGGAGAACTTGGGGCAACGGGATGATTGGGATAAAGGAAGGTTGGATAGGGGAGCAGGGAATAGATGGATGGAAATAGAAAACACTATCCTGAGTGAGGTTACCCAGACCCAAAAAGATGAATATGGGATGTACTCACTCATAATTGGTTTCTAGCCATAAACAAGGGGCACGGAGTCTACAATTGGTGATCCCAAAGAAGCTAAGTAAGAAGGTGAACCAAAGGAAAAACATATAGTTGTCCTCTTGGCTATGGGAAGTAGACAAAATAGCCGGGGAGAAAATTGAGATCTTGGGGGTGGGGTGGGATGTGGGTAAAGGGAGATGGGGAGAGAAAAGGGAGAAGGGGAGAATGGGGGGAACTTGGGGAAAAAGGAGGATTGGGATAAAGGAAGGTTGGATAGGGGAGCACGGAAGCACAATTCTTAGTTAAGGGATCCACCTTAGAGTTGGCAAGAGACTTGAACCTAGAGTGGCTCCCAGATACCCAAGCCGAGGTCCCCAGTTAGTTCCTTGGGCAGCTGAGGATAGGGAACCTGAAATGACCCTATCCTATAGCAATACTGACGAATATCTTGCATATCATCATAGAACCTTCATCTGGTGATGGATGGAGATAGAGACAGAGACCCACACAGGAGCACTGGACTGAGCTCCCAAGGTCCAATGAGGAGCAGAAGGAGGGAGAACATGAGTAAAGAAGTCGGGACCACGAGGGGTGCATCCACCCACTGAGACAGTGGAGCTGATCTATTGGGAGTTTACCAAGACCAGCTGGACTGTGACTGAAAAAGCATGGGATAAAACTGGACTCTCTGAGCATGGCGAACAATGAGGGCTGATGAGAAGCCAAGGACAAAGGCATGAAGTTTTGAACCTATGTAATGTGCTGGCTTTGTGGGAGCCTAGCCAGTTTGGATGTTCATCTTCCTAGTAATGGACGGAGAGGGGAGGACCTAGGACTTACCACAGGGCAGGGAACCCTGACTGCTCTTTGGACTGGAGAGGGAGGGGGAGAGGAGTGGGGGGTGGGGGAGAAGGGTGGGAGGAGGGGGAGAAGGGTGGGAGGAGGGAGAGGGAAATGGGAGGCTGGGAGGAGGTGGAAACTTGTTTTTTTTTCTCCTTTTCTCAATAAAAAAATGGAAAAAAAAGATTGGAGGGTGTGGGAAAGAAAATCTGTGGAGGGAGTAGGAGGGGAGTGGGAATTTCGATTGGTATTTTTTAAGTAATAAAATAAAATAATAATAATAATAAAATTTACAGGCAATTGTATCAGCTAAAAAAAATCTTCAATGAGGCAAGGTAATGAAGACTCAAATGATAATCACAACATCTTTTTTCTTAAATGTGGATGTATCTTTTTAAGCCTTTGATATCTATGCTAATCATAGTGGTTAGATACCTAGAAGGGGACTAGGTAGGATTAGAGGGTCTCCCAAGTAGGAGAAATAGGACATGAACTTATATCATAAAATTATGGTGGTACACAATAGTGCAATTCTGATTGGATTTAAGACCCACTCGTGAGACAGAACCCAATGCTGACACTTCCCAGGTGTCTAAGAAACAAACTAAAAAGGCAATAGACAAGGGAAAAGCCCATATTCTGAAAAAGGAGTGTAGCAATAAAATAACTCTTAATTAAATTCTATTATACTTATAGAGAGATGCCTAACCAAGTGCAACTAGACAGATATTGGAGTCAGATTTGATAGATGACTTGAATGCACTGAATTCCGGACTCAATAGGACTGATGTACATATGAACTGACCAAAACTATGACAGAACATAGAAGAGCTACACAGGCTCTGACAGAGGGAAAGTGGGCATGAGGTCACAACATTGATTGATCAAGAAGCTCTCTGTTCTAGGGATCACTTATGTTGGGGACAGACTGGAGGTGTGGATGGATGCCATGGCCCAGGACACCATCACAGCAAAGGCCTTCTCTACTTAGCTGGCTAGGTAGCCTTGCTCATGTAGTTTAGGGAACTAGAGCTTGGTTCAAGTTCTGGTGGCTGCTGAGGAGTCTGAGCTGGAACACTAATTGACAGCCTTCATTCAGCCACCAAAAATGCAATGTCCCTCTGTAATTAGTGAACTTTCTTGAGAGTTTGTTCCGGACCAGGCATTTGCAGAGCACCTCGTCACCCAAGCCCCCCTTGTCCAAATCCACTAAAATGGCTTTATCTTAAAAAAGATGAAAAAGAAAAAATAATAAAAGCTCACTGTAACTTCTTTGAAAGAAAAATAGCTTTTTCCAATTGAGTCTCATTAACTTAACTTTAGAATAGGTCCCCAGCCCCAAGCATAGTGTAGCCCATTAACACAAACAGAACTGAATAGCATTTCTGTAGATGTTTTTCTCCAATGGATGCTGAGTTTATGTATTTTTTGTCTTACTGATGTCCTTTTGGGTTTTTTTTTTTTTTTTGCAGAGAAAAAGGCTGGGGATGATCTAGGAAAAACTGTGATAGGAATATAGTTCACGAAAATAACTTAATAAAAAGAAAATAATCCTCAAACAAAACATTTATCTAGGCACGTATTTGTGGTCCTATCTGACCTTCCTAAATAAACATTAATATGGTTATTTTCACTTACGATACATATTCTATCCATTCTCTTTGAAGCTGAAAACTTAAGACTATTCTTAATTAAGAATTTACTCTGTATTAAAATGTTATAAAATGGTAGTCATTTTATACATCTATATTAAGACACATTGTTTTCATAAAAGAAATAAAAGACCTAGGTAATTGTAGACTTGCAGAAAATATCACCTTCTGATGTAACCCAGAAAAATCATAATGCATGAAAAGGAAGCAAAATATCAAGAAAACGAGAAGCAATATGATAAAGAACCATTTTCTATAATTAATTGAACTTCCGGTTTAACTTTTCATGACGGTGAGGCACATCAGCTCCTGGCACACCAAGCTACTCCCAAGGGTAATGGGCATTGAAGAGGCTCCTATTGGAGTTGGTTAGCCATTTGGGTAAAAAACTACTCTTGGATGGACTGCTTAACTGGACATGCAGGATCCACAGAGAAATGACTGCTCAACTTGCCTAAAGGTGAGACGATTCTTCGGAGTTCCTGCTACATGAAAGAGCCTGCAGAACACAGAAGAAAGTGACTGACAAACTGCCAATCCAGGCAGACCTACCTTTGAAATTTCCTGCTTTACAGAAAAGTCTGCCAGATATTATGGGCCTGTAGGTTGAAGATGGATGCCCCAGTGGTACAGAAGAACTTTGGGTTATTGTCCAGGCAGTGAGATGTCTCTGTCAATTCTAGAATTTTGCAAGTTGCTTATACTGCACTTCCTGTTTACTTAGGTAATATTGTATCTTTCTGGAGTCTTTGATGGAGTTGAGGAATAAATGGTTATAATTACAGTTTTCCCTTAGATATTATAAAAGATAAAGTAGATATAAATATTGTAACTATTATTTTTTGCTTGATACCTGCTTTGTTATATGTAATTTTACTATGCTAAATTTAAAGCTTTCCTTTTTATTTACACAGAAAAGGGGAAATGATGTTGGAGGTCCTTCTGCCTTGCTTAATGAATAAAGAAAACTGGCTTGGCCTGACAGTGTAGAATAGAGGTAGGTGGGGAAACCTACACTGAATGCTGGGAGAAAGAAGGGCGGAGAGGCCATGGAGCTGCAGCATGCCGAAACTTTGCTGGTAAGCCACTGCCATGTAGCGATATACAGATTAATAGAGATGGGTTAAATTAAGATTTAAGAGTTAGCAAATAAGAAGACAGAGCTAGTGGGACAAGCAGTGGTTTAAATAATGTAGTTTCTGTGTGATTATTTTGGGTTAAAGCTAGCCAGGCAGCCAGGAATGAACAAGCGGCCCCTCCTCCAACAACTAGTAAAGATTTTATTGACACTTCTGCAAAAACAAAAAGAAAAAAATATACAACAACAACAACAACAAATATTGGCACTTACTTATGTGGGCATCCTTGGCAAATCTTCTGATCAGCAAAGGATCCTCCAAGGACATTACTTATCATGGTTGGATGTCCTAAAGCTTTAAAAGCTTCATCTAAACTATCCACCAAAGAATTAAAAAACTCTAATGCATCATGTTGTTCATGAAGATTAATAGGTTCACCCCAAAGCCTGTTAACAAATACATAGGTTAATCAATACAAGAAAGTACCAGATGCATTTAATTTCTGTAAAACAAATAAAAATAACAATGTAAGCTGAAAGAAATAATTAAAAACAAAATATAAGCTGAAACTCTATACCTATAGAAGAGACAAAAGAAACCAAGTGCATACTGCACTTAAGTAGTCATGATACTGCATTCAACCAATTACAACAGAAATTGGGTATAAGGCTAGAGAGATGGCCTAGGAGTTGACATGTGGTGTTCTACCAAAGCTAATGAGTTATAACCAAAGAAGTTTTGTTCCTGTAGCAGATGGGAACTAACAAAGATCCACATGTGGAGAATGTGCAGAGATTAAAGAGACACTGGAATACTCGGTTCCAAATGGGATATCTTCATCAAATCCCCTCCCTCAGGTCTCATAGAATTCAGGAGAGGGGATATAAAGATTCTAAGAGCTTCTCTGATGATAGCTGAGCAAAACACTGATCTGTGAGAACATCAAAATGCCATTAGTGGTTATTTTACTACTACATCAGTTAGAACAGTAGGATTTAGTTTTCACCTTGGCCTATAACTTACACAGTCTTAAGTTCTTAGCCACCAGACCTATCTCCTATAGTGGGCCTTATAGAGGATATGAATGTCACAAAGGAAACAATGTTCAAGACATAACATAAACATTACTGATGCACATATGAACTCACAGAGAGGGACTCAAGTCAGATCAGTCCCAGGGCTCATGAGAGAAAGTGGACATGATCCCTTAACCCAGAACCAATCTCCAACTGACAACTGCTTGTAAAGGAAAAAATATCCCCTATGTGGAGTATACAAACCACACTTAAGGGAGACTCCATGCCCAGCAGCAGACAGCCAATAGAAAACAAATTCAATAGAATTTAAAAAATAACTTTACCCCCTTTTAATTTGCCTATTTGATTTTTAAAGAGAAAGAGGAGGCATGGACTTGGATGGATAGGTAATATCTGGAAGAAGGGAAACCATGATCAGAATATGTATGAAAAACTATTTCCACATATATTTTTTCCTGTCTGTTCTCCGAGACTCAATCCCTGAGACTCATCCCTAGACCTTCAACAAAACACCAACTACAGACTGTCCCCCCACCACCCACATATTCATTGCTGGGAGGAATGCAAGCTGGTACAACCCCTTTGGATATCAGTGTGGCGATTTCTCAGAAAATTAGGAAACAATCTTCCTCAAGACCCAGCAACACCACTTTTGGGTATATATCCAAAGGATGCTCAATCGTGCCACAAGAACATGTGCCTAACTATGTTCATAGCAGCTTTGTTTGTCATAGCCAGAACCTGGAAACAACCTAAATGCCACTCGACTGAAGAATGGATAAGGAAAATGTGGCACAGTTACACAATGGGGTACTACATAGTAGAAAAAAATAACAACATCTTGAATTTTGCAGGAAAATTGATGGAGCTAGAAAACATTATTTTGAGTGAGGTAATCCAGACACAGAAAGACAATTATTACATGTACTCACTCATAGGTGGTTTTTAAACATAAAAAAGAGAAAGTCAGCCTACAAACTACAACCCAGAGAACTTAGACAACAATGAGGATACTAAGAGAGACTTACATATATCTAATCTACATGGGAAGTAGAAAGTAAAAAAGGACAAGATCTCCTGAGTAAATTGGAGCATGGGGACCTTGGGGGAGGGTTGAAGATGGAGGGGAGCAGAGAAAAATGTAGAGCTCAATAAATATCAATAAAAAAATTTAATTACTAGAATAGAATTAAAATGAATATACAGCATACCTAAACTTATGGGATATATGAAACTGGTTCTAAGAAAATTCAAAATAAAAAACTTGAAAGATCTAGAAACTTAGAAACACACCTGAAAGTTCCAGAACAAAAATAACCAATCATACCAAAGAATAGACAGCAAAAAAAATAATTAATCTGAGGGTTGAAATCAGTAAAATTTAAACAGAAAATACAAAGAATCAACTGAATAAAGAACTGGTTCTTTGAGAAAAATCAGGAAAATATATAAACGCTTACAGAAAAATATCCAAATTTACAAAATTAGAGATGGAAAGGGAGACGTAACAACAGATACTGAAGAAATCCAGAAAATTTTAAGGACATACATTTAAAAACATGTACTCCACCAAATTGAAAATTTTAAAAGAAACATGAATTTTCTAGATAGACACTACTTACTAAATTTAAATCAAGATCAGATGAACAATGTAAAGAGACCTAAAACCTCTAAGCAAATAGAGCCATCATGAAAAGTCACCCTCCTCCTGAAGCCCCAGGACCAAATGTTTTAGTGTAGAATTTCAACAGACTACATGGGTCTGCACAACATCTTATGTGTGTACATTATACAGCTGTTTCTTTGAGACAGGGTTTCTCTGTATAATAGTTCTGGCTGTTCTGGAACTTGCTTTGTAGATCAGGCTGGCCTCAATCTTGCAGAGATCTGACTGCCACTGTGTCCTGAGGGTTGGAACTACAGGCGTGTGCCACCATGCCCATCTTTTAGCTTAATATTTTTATGAGACTCCTGACTATGAGAATGAGTGGGTATCTGACTATTTTGCCCGCTCTTGGAGCCTCTTTTCTTTTGTTGAGTTATGTCAAACTTTGATACAATAGTATTTACTTCATCTTATGTTTTATTTTTGCAATGTGGGGTTATTATGTTTTAAAAGTCTGTTCTTTTCTAATAAGAGACAGAAAGGAGGTGGGTCCAGAGGTTAGAATCCATGACTACCATGGAGGAAGAATGGCAATGGAAGACAGGCACGGTGTTGAAACCCCAGAGTTTATATCTTGACTGAACAACCATGAGATAGAGAAAGCTAATCGGGAACGGTATGAGCTTTCGAAAATTTTATGTATCATTTTTTGGGGGGTGTCAAAATCCAACAAGCTTAATAGCACACATTAATTTCTGGGTCTCCCATTGTATTTATTATTGGTTCTTTACAAATTTTCACTGTTGGAATGTCTTACTAACTTTGAAAGAAGTCTGAAAAATGGAAAACATGAGTATTTAAGCTTTTAAAAAAGCTTTTCCTGAGATTTCTTTTTTCTTTTTCCCCTCAAATTAAATGGAAGTATGCCAATATATAGATACACAAACAAAAGTACTGGCTGTTTGGCAGAGGTTCAATATGAGGAATTACTTGATATTTCAACAAAAACCTTTAACTCCAATCCCAGGGAATCAACCCTTTGTAGGCTTCTGTTGGCAATGCAGGCATGTGGTTCATAAACATATTTTAAGGCAAACCACTCATTTACATAATAAAAATAAAGGGGAGGGAGAGAAGGGCATATCGACCTTTTCATATACTTATGAAAAAACCTGTGGAAGTCTGTTATCAGTCTTTTAAAGTGACCAGGAATCAAATGCTTTAAGAAATATATAAACAGAGATAACTAGATTATTTAAAGAATACATTTGATTTAATATACATGTTTATCTTTAAAGTCACTAATCAAGCTCATGAACAAATTCTGTACACTTCTAAGATTGCTTATAGTAAGTACTACACCTTCAGTGGGTGATGGTGAAATATACTTTTAACCCCAGCACTTGGAAATCATGGAAAGGAAGATCATTCTTGAGTTCTAGGACAACATAACCCTGTATCAAAAGACAAAACCACAATACCCGGCACAAGAAGCCCTCTTTTGAGTTATCGGCTAGAGCTGCCCAAAAGACTCTCCCAAGCATACAATGTATTGCTACTGCCTTTGGTTACTTCCATAAGTAGTAACTAAGTCTCTACTGTTGTAGACTCCATGCACCTCAAAAACAGGACCCAGTGCTGTAACTGACCTGAATGATCTCTCTTTGAGGACCAGCTTTTATGAGCCAAAAAGCCCACAAAGCTTACAAAATCCTACACAAAGATAATGATGGCTATGAACAACATTAAGGAGAAATATGACATGGTAACCCTATGGTGCAGTAGTGTTACACAACTTGGTGGTAATAAAAAACTCTCCTAATTGTACTTAAGACCAGAAGAGAGAAACCATGTCCAGTGTTGGAAATATAGCTTATTCAGTGCTAATCAAATCACGGTTATAAGAGAATCTAAAATCTCTAGTTTAGCACAAAATACTTAGCAACAATCTATAATCATTTGTGTTTATACTCACAAAAAATGTAGTCTTCACTCCTCATCAAGAAAATTTCTCTTTACAACAGAGATCCCTACGTAATGGTAGAAGCAACATTCCATCCTGAGTGAGTTAACCCAGACCCAGGAAGATGATCATGGTAGTACTCACTCATAAGGGATACTAACTGTAAAGCAAAGGATAATGAGCATATATATCGTTCCCAGAGAAGCTAAGAGACAAGATGAACCCTAAGAGAAACATATATAGATTCCCTTGGAAAAAGGGAAATAGACAAATCTCCTGAGAAAATTGGAAGAATAGGGGTGGGAGGAGAAGGAAAGGCAAAACAGGAGGAATGGAGAAGGGGAGGGGAGAACTCAAGGAAATGGGATAATCAAGATGGGGGAAGGACAGAGAAGGAGAGCAAGAAAGGAGGTATCTTGATTTAGGGAGCCACTATGGGGCTAGCAAGAAACCTGGCACTAGAGAAATTCCTAGGATCCACAAGGATGACCCGAATCAATGGTGGAAAGGTGAATGAACTGGCTTTGCCCTGTAGCCAGATTGATGACTATCTTAAATGTAACCATAGAACCTTCATTCATCAACTGACGGAAGCATAGGCAGAGCACCACAGTGCAGTACTGCTCTGAGCTCCCAAATTCCAGTTGAAGAGTAGGAGGAGGAGTAAGAATATGAGCAAAGAGGTCAAGACCATGATGGGGACACCCACTGAAACAGTGTACCTGACTTAATAGGAGCTCACCAACTCTGTCCAGATAGGGAAGGAACTAGCATAGGACTAAACTAGACCCTCCGAATGTGGGTGATAGTTGAATGACTGAGACAGACTGCCAGGCTACTGGCATTAGGATTTCTCTCTACTTTATGTATTGACTAGGAGACCTTGCTCAACCTAGATATAACAGGGAGGGCTTTGCTCCTTCCTCAGAGCAATGTGTTTACCCTCTTTGAGGAGCAGATGGGGGTGGAATGGGGGTAGGGTGGAAGGATGGGAGGAGGAGAGGGAAAGAGAACTGGGATTGGTATGTGAAATGAAAAAAAGATAGTTTTGTTTTTCTTTTTAATTAAAAAAGAAAACAAAAAGCATTCAAAGTATAGAATTGTGAAGTCCAGTCCCATGGGATACATGATGTGGCATTCCCCTTCTATACGCTGTGATTATGTCTTTCATTACTATTGGCTAATAAAGAAGCTGCTTTGGCATATGGCAGGGCAGAATATAGCCAAGCTGGAAAAGATATAAAGAAGAGAGTAGGCAGAGTCAAAGAGATGCCACGTCATTGCCAAAGGAGAAAGACTCCAGAACTGTACTGGTAAATCACAGTCTTGTGGTGATACACAGATTAATAGAAATGGGCTAATTTAAGATATATGAGCTAGCTAGAAATATGCCTAAGCTATTGGCCAAAGAGTGTTTTAATTTAATTAATATAGTTTCTGTGTGATTATTTGGGTCTGGGCAGCCAGGAAACCAACAAGCAGTCTCCATTTACAGATACACCTACAAAACAGTTGCAGAAATGGTTCAGGGAGCACTGCAGAAAAAAGTTACTACCTTTTGCAACGAATTTTCAAGAACCAAAAGATCAGAAAGTTTGATAAGAGAATTTGCCTCCTAGTAATATCAGAAACCACATCCATGAAGTCTTATCAATGAGAATGTCAAAATATGAACTGAACAAAGACACCAATTAACATGCCAAACTAGACAGCCCATAAGGTCTCAAGTCTACACAAAGCAGCAAAAAGCAACTAAGGATTGCTCTCAGGTATGAGAAATAGTCTCAGAGAAGAACAACAACATCTGTTGTTGACTACCAAATGGCAAATTTTGAAAACAAACATAGGCAGTAACATAGAAAATGTGGTCACGAATTTCAAAGGTGGGAGAGGTATAGGGGCGTTGAAAGGAAGGAAAGTAAAGGGGAAAATGCTTTAATTTATATTAAAATCCAAAACAATAAAAGAGGAACCTGATGCCTTTGCAGAAGATCTGGGTTTGGATGCTAGCAACAACATGGTGGTTTATAACCACCTGTAACATCCAGTTCTGAGGAACTGATTCTATCTTCTGGCCTACATAGGCACCAGCACACATGGGAGGCAAAACACTAATATACATAAAATCAAAATAAAATCTTTAAAAATAATACTATTATAATACTTTTATCATTTGAATTTTGATACAAAAGCACACTAAAACATATTGTATGTCTAGAATATGAATAGTATGAATGGATAGTTATGGCACTGCTAGTATCAATATCATAAAAAGGTATGTGGGAGGCCACAAATATATTTTACTCAATTAAAAATATCTTATATTTTAATACATTTTAATACATATTATTATAAAAGGCAATCCATAGTTTTATAGAAATATATATGTTTTGTTTTCTTCCTCAGTTGTAATATGTACAATTATTCAGTGGGATACTACTGTTATCATGCAAATAATACATAACTTAGTGGTAGAGTACTTTTGGAGAAATCTGAAAATTGGAGTAATATGGAAGAACAAAATTAGAAATAGTGCCTAGAAAAGTAAACCTTTTGGCACATCTGGGGATAAAATAGCAAAAAGAAATAGCAGAAACAGGTAAGAACAAAGCATAGCTTAAAGTACAGAATCAAACAATGTGGTATTGCATATAAATATCATTATGATCTACAACAGCATGATGTGGGTGGGAAGTCTTGTAAATATGTTGCTTTTATTGGTTAATAAAGGTGTTTGGCCAGTGGCTTGGCAGAATAGAGCTATACAGAAAAACTAAACTGAATGCTAGGAGAAAGAAAGAGAGTCAAAGAGATGCCATGCAGTTGCCACCAGGGACAGATATGCTGGAACCCTGAAGGTAAGCCACAGCCACATGGCAGATACATGGGTTGTAATAAAAATGGGTTAATTTAAGATGTAAGAATTACCCAGAAATATGCTTAAGCTATTGGCCAAACACTATTACAAATAATATAGTTTCTGAATGATTGATTATTTTGTGTTCTGGGCAGCCGGGAACAAATGAGCGACGACTGACTACAGTAGCGGTTCATCTGAATGGAATTAAATTTATACTGAAACACACAAATTGAGTCATTGTACTATAAATATCCAACTGTAAAGGAAAAATAAAATGACACATTAAAAGAACTTGCAGTAAGTAGAACAGAAATAAGTGGTCACAAGTTAGAAGAGCCCTGTTCCAAATAATCTTTAAATAGACAGTGAAGTGCCTGGATAAAAGAACTTTACATTCTTATTGTTCTGGCTAGTTTTGTGGTCAGCTTGACCCAAGCTGGTTTATTTTAGAAGAGGAACTTCAACTGAGAAAAAGATCCTACGAGACTAGCCTATGGAGCATTTTCTTAATTGATGACTGACTCTATATATTTGGTGCCACCTCTGGGATGGCTGCATCGGTATATGAGGAACACATGAAGAGCAAGACATAGGAACGCATGAAGAGCAAGACATATTTCAGATTCTTGCATTCATGTTACTGCCCAGACTCCTCAGCACTGGAATATGATCGAGAGTTATAAGAAGCAAAGTTTTCCTCCTCAAATTGTTTATGGTGTTTTATCAAAGCAATAGAAACCCAAATTAAGATACTTCTTAAATATTAGAGCTCTTTTCCTAAAAAGGAAAAAGAAATGTAATGTAACTTACACATAAAAAGTGAGGGAACTAATGTCAAAATTAAAAACACTTCAAAAAAAGGGCAAAGAACAAATCCTAAACTCAAAAAATATTAAAAATGAAAAACAGCACTTATATGTAATGAACCCGAAAGTATGCTTCTTAAAATTCATATGGAAAAAAAAATAAACAAAATAATGAGTAGTGAAATGTTTACTGATAGTAAAAACATTTTATTTACATACAATGATGGATGACAATCATGCTTAAAGGCGTTGGTGGTTCTCGCCTTTAATTCCAGAACGTGGAATGCAGAGGTAGGCAGATCTCTCCGAGTTCAATGCCAGTTTGATTTACAGAGCTGGTTCAAGGACAGGCTCCAAAGCTACACAGAGAAACTGTCTCAGTAAACCAAAAAGAAAAATTTGAAAACTTGGCATGGTTGCAGTATTGAATGTTAGTGTGCGCCAGACAAATTCTTGTCTAAAAAGTAAACAAACCAAAGACAAACAAGAAAACACACCAAAAAGGAAATTCTCATCCATAATCTTACAAACACAGAGACTGATGATGAAATAAGCTTGATATTTGCTTTAGTTGAAAAGTATTGGTTTCAAATAACTATAAACTATAAATTTCATTTTATGAATTAGAAAATAAAAGCAAGATAAGACAAAAGTACAAGAGTTCTATAGTTTGAAGAATAGGGATTATTTGTTATCTCAATTTTTATACTTACTATTCGTGACAATAGAATAAGAAAAAAACAGAGTAAAAATGACATCTGGAAAACTACCATTATTTAAACATTACAACAAATATCCCAATCTTTATCTTTAAAAGCATAACTAAATTATATAAAAACATAAATAAAATTCACACATAATTTACCTGAATTGTTGCCAGAATCCTCTGGGCACATAGTATTGTAGTTGAGAAGAAGCTAAATGTCCAAAGATTATCTGAAGGTGTTTTAAAACACCAATGTTGTACTCTTTTCTATCTTCTACTTTACTTAATGTGGGTTTGTCTTCAAACTGATGAGGATATCCAAATATATCTCTGGGATCAACATGACTCTAGGGATTAGCAAAAACACAAAATAATAATGAGCTAACCTACATTTTCAAATACAACAAAATAAGTTTAAATAGAAACTACGTAGGGAATACATTAGTAGTGTCTTAACATTACATTGAATTTCCTGTTTGTAAAACACATTTCAATTTATACGATTATTTATTTCCAGGTGGGCTGTTATGAACCATTTTAGATGTAATAAAATACAATTGGGGAAATGGTATAGTGGGTAAGATAACTTGATGTTACCAGTACAAAGTGAATATAGCTGGATATGCCTTGTAATCCCAGCACTAGGAGGCAGAGAAAGGTAGACCAGACCATGACAACTCTCTTGTTATTTTAAATAGCAGAACTAATAAAATTTCTACTTAGTGAAAATTTCTGACTTAAGGGAGCAACGTAAAGTGAGATAGAGGAAGAAACTTTTCATCGTCTGGCTTCTGCATGTGCATGCATAGCAATCCACCCCACCAGAACACACAGAGTTACTAAAAAAATAATAACATTGATTAACAGTCTAAATTTTAGTCAATTAGACTAGAAAGGAAACAAATGAACACGCGCAGATTATAAAATTTATAGTATTCAGTATCATCTTAAGGAAGCAATACTTTATCTGTGCTTTATATTTCTATGACATGAGAACTACTAACACCTAATATTAGAATATTTAAGAGGAACCCACCACAATTGTTCTAAATGATATAGTCCCTTTGTAGTTATGTGGGCAGAATTCAGTGGTTATACAACTTAGCTGTTTATTGGAAAACTAAGCATCTTTTTATATGCTTTGTCCTGCACCTAAAGTTCATAATATAAAGGAGTATTCATAATCTTGGTAGAGAAGAAAGCATACAAGCAGGCAATATATGGTAGTACAGACAACATGAAACACAACATAACAAATCACAAAAGTGAAACATTTAATTTCAATTTTTATATATTGTTTGTATCATTTACTTGTAGTTAGCATAATTAGATATCTTTATCAGCACTGAATCAACAATCTAGAAGTAGCATGATCTACTAGAATCTCGAAGTTCAAATGGCCATGTATAACCCAAATCCAAAAGAGAAAACATACACAGGTCTCTTATTAGGTAAAATAACCATGCTTTTTCTTCTGCAGAAGACACAGGTTTGGTTCTCAGTACCCAAAGGGCGGATAATAATAGTCTATCACTGAAGTTCAGAGAATCTAATATACTCTTATCGTTTTTGCAGGCACTGTGGTACATTCATGTGGCACGCACGCACACACGCATGCACGCGCGCGCGCGCGCGCACACACACACACACACACAGAGATTATATGTATGTACACACACATACATGCAGGAAAAACTCAAATACACAAAATAAAAGTTTAATAGAACAAAAATCAAAACAAACACCAAAACACAAAACAAAAACCTATCCTAAAATCATGTGACAGAGCACCCATTTGGAAACATAAATGGACTCAGATAGAAAAAAAAATCTGAGTAGAAAGAACAAGGCTAGAGATTGTCAATTCCAGATTTTAAGATTTATTACCTCTCTACAGAAATAAAAACAAATGGTACTGGCATAAAACAGATACGATGGCATATAAGCAAGCAAGAGTCAAATGAATATACATAACTCCATCAATTTAATCTCTGACAAAGATGTAAAAACACACAGTGAAGAAAAAAAAGTGCTTAAAAATCGGGATGTCCCCATGAAGAATCATAAAATCAGGCCTGTACACCTATCATCCTGCACAAAAATAACTCCACATGGACCTAATTTTACCTTGAAACCTGTTAACACTGAACGGAAACACTGGTAATACCTTACATATATAGATAAAGAAATGATTTGATTTTCTGCTTATGATTTTCCAAGAATTAAGGCCAATAATTGACAAGTGGGACTTCATAAAATGAAAAAAAGCTTCTACACAGCTAAAAAAACAATCAAGACAACAACAAAAAATGGTAAAAAGGAACCCACAGAATGGGAAACTTTGCCAGCTGTACATCTGATACAGAATATTCAAATATATACAGGCATCCCTCAAAAAAGTCAAGGAAACAAATGATACAGATATGGGCTATGCATATGAGTAGAATCCCAAAAGACACAAAAAATGGGTAAGAAGTATCTAAAAACAGACAAACCAAGCAACTGACAAACAAAAAAATTACAACCATTCAATAGTCTTAGGAATTATGGAAATACGGAATCCTAACAATGTTGAAACTTCATCTGACATCAGTCAGAATGGCAAAAATCAACAAAATGATCAAAAATTAAAGATGAACAAGATGTAGAAAAGGGGGCATATTCCTTTATTGTTGGCAGGCTTACAAATTGGTCCAGCCACTCTGGAAATCAGTATGGAGAAACCTCAAAAAGTTAAAAATAAATTTAACATGCAATCCAGTTTTCTGTGCCAAATGCCCAAAGAACAATACCCTGCTCCATTAATTTCTACTCTCCTGATGATAGCCAGAAAATGGAAACAACATTTAACCAACAAATAGCTAATTAAAATATGAGACGTATACTATAAAATACTATTCAGCTGTACGAAAACCTAAAATGTAATCAGCAGATAGACATCATATTGATTGACTTAACCTAGACTCAAAAAGACAAAGGCTACACATTCTCTCAACTGGGGTTCCTTGCTGCAAATTGTCAGATGTGAGTAAGTTACTGCAAGTAATGCAGAAACCAGAAAAAGTAAAAGCTGTAAGAATATTTTTAATAAGTGTGTGTATAGTTTATGTTAAGTTATGCTCAATTTGACCTGGCAATGCTCTTCACAAGAGCTATATATACTAGCAAAATCCCAGAAAGTCATGAGACAATCCCTTTTGAGTTGTCCAGGATGCTCAAGAGACTCTCAAAAACAATTTGGGCTACTGCTGTTTCCCTTGGTTGTCTCCCAGAGTTTGAGTGTATGTCTTTATTGCATAAGAAAACATATGGAGGGTCCAACCTGGATTGGGCCTGGAAGCCTAATTGATAAGTACACTAGTTTTCATAGAAAGGAAGGGAAACAATCAAATCGAGCTGTTTTGACTATGAACCACAACAAAAACCAGTGTGACTAGACACCCGTAAAGGTGAAATATCAGCACTGACAACAGGTGTAAGCCATAGCTCTCCACTTGGACTTAACCAATTAACAGGAGGCAAATCATGCCTGGTACTGGAAACCCAGCTTAACTACTTGGTGCTAATTAGATCATGGATCTTAATAAAGAATTTACTACTGACACATTAATAAGCCAGTGTATCTCAAAATTGAGTTCTAAATATTTTTCCTTATACCTTCATCAAAGAAAGGTGGTGGTGGGAGAAAATAGGAAATGATAATTATATTTTAATAAAAGCGTAAACAGAATCATGCTAGTTATAAATATTTTTATTATAACTTAACTTCTGTCCACTTTTGCTTCATTTGAGTACATTCAGTGGGTACTGTGTAATATTTCATTTGTATTTTAATAAAGTTTAGAGAGTAAAATAGCTGCACCGATCATGCTTATACACCAGCTCTCACAGTATTTTGAGGATTCTTGGAGGCAGGATTGCCATTTCAGACTGAGGTAAAGGTAAGAGCCAGTTGGCTGGTTGTTCTGCTTTTCTGACCTTCAGGTTGAACCCCAATTTCTGTTTCTGCGTTTTTAATAATCATGCAACAAGGTACTGATTATCTGCTAATGTTTGTTAATGTTATCAGTGAATTATATAGTATTGCTGAAGAAACAGCTCTGTTCCATCAAAAGGAACTAAGATTTGATTAAAACACTAAGGGAACGCTATGAAAAAGGATAGTTTATAAAAAAAAATAGCAGGAAAGCTTTACAATAGATTGGGTACACAGTAAGGATAATTGCCGAAAATAGTTAAAAACTAATTATACTTAAGACATCACAGAAAACAGGAATACATCAACTGTATTTGTTTGAGGGAAGAACATAAAACAAGTAAAATTTTCTATTGTACTTTCCAATCTGTAGTATATAATGGGGTATTATAATACCCTAGACGCACCAAATCAGACATTATTCTACCACCAGCATCAAAGACAGTAGAGGATACTATTAAAAGTATAACAACCTGAGAGAGAACTGGGAATACCTGGTTTTAGGATTTGAAAAAATAATACAAAAAGTGACTGAAACTTACCTTACTGTCCTGCTTTTCATCCTTGAATGTATCATCATTTATATTACTCCCTATGTTTTCAATTGAAAGAATACTATTCCTGATAAGAGGAATCATGTATAGTTGCTGGATCACTGAGTTCATATAACAAGTAGCACCAGCATTTTTGAGTCCCACAAATCCTTTTGGTGGGCGCGGTCCAACAGGTGGTAGATATTCCCACTCAGTAAGTGCTTCACAAGCTGAGAGAAGAAAATAAAATGTTTACAGCAAGAAAGTGATGCTTCTAATTTACAACTCTTTTAGGCTAAGAAATTACTATTAGGAACTTTTTATTTTAAAGCACAAGATTTGGAATACTAAAATTTTCCTTTAGCAATGAGTCAAACTGATTTCATAATTTTATTGACATTACTTCTATATTTCTTAGAAATATTAGTATAAGATAGGATTGCATATTATTTAATATTTTAATAATTTAGTGTTATATAATAAATTTATACTGCATAACACTAATTAGGACTATATACTAAATTTCTGTAATTTAGTAAGACAATAATTTAAAGAATAAACATTAAAAATAGTTTGTACTTTTAAAAATTAGTATGCTCACAGAATGGTTTTGGTGCACACCTTTAATCCCAGCACTCAGGAGGCAGAGGCAGGTGGATCTTTGTGAGTTTGAGGCCAGCCTACTCTACAAATTTAGTTCCAAAATAGCCTCAAAAGCTACAAAGAAACTCTGTCTCAAAATACCAAACAAAAACAGACCAAACAAACCAAACCGAAACCAAACAAAACACACCCCAAACCAACCTTAGTATGGTCAATTTAGTATGAACAGAACTATACAGAAACAGTCCAAACGTCTTAGTTTTAAATATAAAATCACTTACCTTCAAGCCACAGTTCTACTCATAAAAAAAAAGGTTCTTCCACATAAATATTTACTGTTCCTCATAATAAAGTGAAAAATTTATTTTGCTCTCTGGAGTAGTGGCCCTAAACATTCCCAATGCTGATACCCTTTATTTAGTTCAGTGGTAACTGCCTCAACTATTTCATTGCTGTGTCATAGTGTGATTTTGCTATGCTTGTGAATTTTAAGTATCTGTGTTTTCTGGCAGTTTTATGAAACCTCTGGAAAAGGAGCATTTGATCCATAATGGGGTCCTGACCCACAGGTTGAGAACCACTGGTTTAGATCTAGCTTTATAACAAGGGAAGTAGATAGTAAAACTGAAATTACTGTGAGAACTATTATTTTATATGTCCAATACTTAGCAAAAATCCAAAAGCAATTTAAAAATCATCAAAAATCTGTAAATTACAAAAATTAAAATATATTAAATTGAAATTCATACCATTAATAGTTATAATCAGACCTCTAGCTGAGCTTATGCACACCTTTAATTTCAATACCTGGGCAGAGGCATATTGAGCTCTATGAGTTCAAGGTCAACATGGCCTATTAGTAAGTACCAGGCCTACTTAGACCCTGTCTCAAGAAAAACACCAACAAAACAAACCAACAAGAATCAGACATCAAGATGCTGCTAAATATATTAACTATAAAATAAAGTTGAGAATATTGCATTTACTACATCTCTACTTATATGGGGTGGGAAAAATCAACCTAAGCAGATATAATGTATGGGTGTGTGTGTGTGTGTGTGCGCGCGCGTGCGCACACACGTGTGGCTATCTGTATGTATACATGTAGTATATGTACAACTTGCATATCCCTATTACTAAAACAGGAATATGGAATACATGGGAAGTTAACAGTTTTTGTATGCATTTTGGTATCTTTGAAAACTAGCAATGCAAAAAGCATTTTCTGTGCAGCAATGGTTTTACCCAGAAAGATTTGTTTCTTGTACTTGTTTAATAAAATGCTGTTTGGCCAGTAGCCAGGCAGGTGGTGTGACCAGGCTGAAAATAGAGGTGGGACAATGAGAACAGGAGAATTCTGGGAAGATGAAAAGTCAGTCTGCAGTTGTCAACAGACACAGAGCAAGTAAATGAGAATGCCTCACTGAAAAAGGTACCAAGGTGTATGGCTAACACAGAAAAGAATTATGGGTTACTGTACAATGTAAGAATTAGTTATTACAAAGCCTGAGCTAATTTGTCAATCAGTTTATAATTAATGTAGACCTCTGTGTGTTTTATGGGACTGAACGGCTGTGGGACCAGGAAGGACAGAAATCTCTGTCAACAAGTATCAGAGGAAAAAAACAAATTCTGACAAATAAGTTTTTCATTACAAGTTCATTATAAGTTTACCACAACAAAGAATTTCAGCATTTATTTAATAATATAAGAACAAAAGGTATAACAGAATCTATGACAGAATTTCAGGTCTTATATTTCTGTTAAATAATGTAACAAATTTAATAAACTATCATGCTTTTCTACTAAAATGAGTTCATGTTTTCATTATAATTAAAATTATCTAGCCCCATGCTCCATTCCACATGATTCAAAACAGAGAGCTTGCTATACTGCCGAGTGGCCTTCTTTAACTTCCTGTGGATAGCACTGTGGCTGGCCTCAAATTCATCCTTTTCCTCCACTCTTCCCAGTCTTAGGATTATTGGCATGCAGCTCTAAGTTTAGCTTGACTTTCCTTTTAAGTTTAAAACTCTTGTAAAATCTTCAGAGTCACTTCATGGAACTCTGAGGGCATGGAAAGCATAGTAAGTCACCTAAATATTCTCTTTGAACCTTAAAAATAAGCCTATTCTCAGAACTCAAGAAACATTAAATGACCTCCATAGTAGGGTATGAAATTCTTTCCAATATCTTGTGTAAAAATATTTATATCTGTGGCATTTATTGTTAAACTTTATTATTAAATTACATACAACACTTGTGATACTTTCAATAATGTAATTTTTCTGTTTGCAGACATTTTAATTTTAAACACTGGAATACTAAGAAACAATAAAAAAACTTTACATTTTACTTACTTGTTCTTGTTGTGCTTAAATAATACATTTCAGTCAAACAGTTTACTATCTGATTAAGATTCCTTACACAGCCAAAAGCCAAGGCTACGAGTAGTTCAAACCCAGCATTAACTGTAGTTGGTGAACCACAGACTGGAACAGCTTGCTTGGCTGGCAGTTCTCCACTACTCATATATTGGAGGTAAGCTTTAGATGCAGGAAAGATGAAATCATCAATTAGTTCCTAAGGAGTTAAAAAAAAGACATTGTCCATTATTTTATATTTTATATTTATTACATTATAAATATATTTTTAGAAAAACAAATCTCTTATAAGAAATTACTTTTGTAATTTGACATTTAACTACTTAACTCAAAAAGCAGTTTCAGAAATCCTAACAAGACATTAATAAAACAAAGTAATTAATGAATACCAATTTTCTAGACAAAACAAGTGACGAATCATATACTAACTTTAAGTTCATTTTAAATATCAACAAAATACATCCCAGTTATACAAAGCACAAAAAAGATCACCAAAAACCAAAAAAACAAAACAAGTATTTTAAGAAATTCTCACTGTCAACACAATCCTGGGAAGAATTCAGATGTAGCAAACAGCAAATCTTATACAGCTGCTTAGTGATCCTATATTCTATCTGTATTCTTTTGTATAATTATGTTTATTAACAGTTATGAGCACCCTTTTTATTATCATCTCTTGCAGCAAAGGTCTTGGGAAAGAACAAACCAAGAGTCACTGAAAACTGTGTGTGATAAAATCCATGACATCACTAACCCTGTTTCCCATATGTCCCCAGAAGATAGTCATTAAATGAAAAAAAAATCACAGCATATTTTTGGAAAAGGAGAACACAGAGGCACCCAAATGATAATGATAGTCCATTTGGGGGTGGAACAAGAAAGTTTGGAGTAAATACACTGTATACATGAATGAAACTATCAAAGAATAAAAGATTAAAAAAAATTGCAAAGTAATTCAAAACTTTAAAAATTAAGGATTTTATTAAGATAAAGTTTTTTAAAAGATAGGCTTTTTACAAGAATTTTTTAAAGAGAAAAAGAGAAGGAGAGAAGAAAAGAGGAAGAGGGGGAGAAGAGAAGGGGAGTGGAAGGGAAAGAGAAATAACAAACATGGGTGAACAGAAAGCAGGGAAATCAAAACATGCAAAAATATTTTAATAAGAGAAAAATAATAAAAGCTGGCTTAAACTTCAGCTTAACAAAAAATATTATTTTCAAAGATATAGCCTATTAATGAGTTTTATCAAAAACATGGTAACATATGAAGTGTTTCAACAGTTTGCTTTTTCTTCCTTTGGATAAAGAACTCACTTGTGTATCCTTTTGGATGACACGGAACCTTGCCTACCTTAGCCTCTGGAATCCTAGAAAGAAGCATATGTGTCCTCATGTTGGTGAATAGTTCAGAATTACAATTTAAAAATAAGGAGTTGAAGAACATGGTTTAGTAGGTAAAAATAATCTGATTTCAAAACCCTAGAACCCATGTAAAAATGGGCGCAATATTAAGCATCTACAATCCAAGATTTACTAAAGCGTGGACACGCAGAAGAGGACAACTCCAGGAAGCTTGTAGGTCATCTAATGTGGTGTATTTGGTGGTGAATAACAAGGAGTCTCAATTTCAAACAAGGTGGAAGGCTACACATCTACCCCAGTATGCACACACCTGCACTTATTCATACAAACACACACAAAAGCAGTTGAATTTAGAACTTACTTTAACAAGATTAGTACCTCCTTTTTCACAACCAATATGGTATTTTTTCTCTGGAGTTTGAAAGGCTAGTAACTCTTTTGTTACTCCAAGATGGCCTTCCAAGATCGGATCTTCAACACCTGCTTCACCTGAGTCTTTAACACAATCCTACCAAAGAAAAAAATAATACCAGTCTAACCTATGAGGATAAACAAAGGGGCAGGAAGTCACAATTAAAAAAAAAGCTCTAAGAATGCATGTATAATTTCTCTGTACAGATAGTTATTTTGAAGTTATACAATCCCAGGGAAAGAGAAATTTCTATGGCAACAATTAGAATTTGAGGTCACAACTGTCCTTTAATATTATAAAATATAAACAGGGCGGCTAGATAACGAAAATGGGTTATCTAGTACCAAACAAAATAATGCTGGTTCAGTTAACTTTCAGCATTTTAAGGCTTTACATACTAATAGAATAATGCCTATTTTAATGACAAAATTTTGAACTACAGATTATATAAAATATATAATTTGGTAAATTTAACATTCTGAATAAAAATAAACTAAGAATAATACCAGTAACATAAAAAATTCAGTGTAATTTGTAATCAGTGTAACACATTAGGTTTAAATAGCATCTGGGAATTGTTGTAAGATCTTGCCTTAAAAGAAAAACACCCCTATCAAACCTAAGAACCAACATATGCCCTAAATGGTAGCACTGTAATTCGCAAACAGGCCAGTAATACCAAAATAGATATAATCAAACAGCAAACTAACAAGTTTCAAATTCATTTAAGCAAAATAAGATGTGTTTTCTGTAAGTCAACTCCAAGAAACAACAGTTTGTCTTTGTAAAATTTTTGTTGGATATTTTAAATAGTATTTCATAATGCTCATACTTATTTCCTACTTTTGAGTGTTGAAATTAAAGAGAATATGATCATGTCTAGTTTGTTCACTTTTGTCTTCAAAGCAGAATAAAATCTCAAAGTTTTAAAACCTCTGAAATCGTTAATCTTCGTTATCAATTTTCTTGGATTCAGAAGTGTCCAAAAGTGTGAGGTTTTGCATAGAAGAAAGTATGTCCTGAATAACAACTTTAACATTCTATAGGATAGAAGACTGAATGAAATAAGTGCAGAAACAAGAAATCCACAAACAGACATTTTCTCTGCTTTAAAGCCACCAGTAGATGTGTGGGCTATGCAACATACTCATACTAACACAGTAGTTCATCTTGTCTCAGACACAAGAAAATGAATGACTGTGGCACACTTCAACTGAAATTTCTAAAATGGTGACCAAAACTCATCGATTCCTCCCTAATTTTCATAGCAAACACATTCTGCTTTAATTACAAAAAGCTAACATATCCTTCCTTTAAAGTTAATTTAATAATAAAATAATCTGAATATTATTCATCTTACCCTAACCCTTTTGAGCCAGTCAATTTCATCACTAAGAAGAACATCAGCATTGGGTACAAGAACACTGCAGTTGTAAGCATGAGTGAGAAGACGCCTCAAAAGTGTGAAGTATTCTTCTGAATATTTCCCCCTTTCTGTTGTGACACTCTGAAATATTAACAAACACAAACTAAAACTGTGATCATTAATGACTTATTTGCCAAAAAAAGTCTTAATGTTTGTAATATCATATCTATTCCTATGGAACATGAACTAAATGAAATAAAAGTTGTAGTTTATCTTTGAATATCTCTCATTTTTAAGAATAAATATATTGACAGTTCCACTAAAATTGTCTCACCCCCAGAATGGTAAAGAGTAGAGTAATGAAGAACATCAGAGGTTTATGTCCCATGCAACATCTGGTACACATTAAGAAGAACTGCTCCTGTGCCAACTGCCGTATAGGTCTGTAATAATATAAGGCAACAAATATACATTAACCCTTAATTAGTAGCAAATAAGGAGTTTAAGATATTTGCAGAGTTAAATCTCCTAACATTTATATAAAAGATAAATACTGTGATAATTTACAACTTACAATCTATTAAAATATAAGTATTACAAGTCAAGGATGGTGTAGAATTATGTAAAAGAGAGGCACAAAAGAGTATGAATAGATTTTATTTCATTAAGAAGCAACCCGACCCAGAGGAAGCAATCTTCACCAGACCCAGAGTGGGACAGAACCATCTGCTAGGACAGAAAGCGAACAAGCTCCACCGGAGAAAATCCAGTCCTGGGACATTGGCAGACCAGGATTGAGCTAGCAATCTGACCCAGAGACAGCCATCTCCAACAGAACAGGTACAACTGCAAACCAGGGACTTCTGCAGGAGGGGGATCCAGACCAGGATTTACAGAAGCAGGTCAAAGCCAGCAACGTATGCCAAAGTAGGCCTGAGACAGAAAACTCCAAGGGAGCAGAAAAAAAAGCACAGGAGAACTGAGCTATCTCCAGGAACACCAAGTAACCAATAGGGTAACTAGAACTGTGACTCTGAGAGTACCACGAGGAACAACCATCTAAACTTTGGACTCAAAGGCACCTAGACGATTATTCAACAGAATCTCAGACATCTCCAACCACACGCACTAGAGGAAAAGATCAGTAGAAAAGGTAAGATCACACGCTAAAACACAACACCAGTAAAACCTACAGACCCTACAGCAGCAAGACCTAAACAACCAAATATAGATAAACCAGAAAAAATAACCTAAAAAAAATAACTTCAAGAGAATGTTTGAAATTCTTAAAAAGGAAATGAGAAATTCCCTTAAAGAAATCGAGGAAAAGACAAACAAAAAATTGGAAGATATCAGCAAATCACTTAAAGAAATGCAAGAAAAAGAAATCAAACATGTGAAAGAAACTATTCAGGATTTGAAAACTGAAATAGAAACAATAAAGAAAACACAAGCTGAAGGAATTATAGAAAGAGAAATCATGAGAAAAAGATCAGAAACCACAAACGCAAGCATGAACAGCAGAATACAAGAGATGGAAGAGAGAATCTCAAGTGCTGAAGAAACAACAGAGGAAATAGACTCCTCAGTTAAAGAAAACATTAAATCTAACAAAAGCTTAACCCAAAATGTTCAGGAAATATAAGACACCATGAAAAGGCCAAATCTTAGAATAACAAGTATAGAAGAAAGAAAAAAAATATTCAACTCAAAGGCACATAAAATTGATTTAACAAAATCATAGAAGAAAACTTTCCCAACCTAAAGAAAGATATGCCTAAAAAAAAAAAGAAAGAAAGATATGCCTATGAAGATAGAAGAAGCTTACAGAACACCAAAAAGACTGGATCCAAAAAAAAAAGTCCGGTCGCCTCATAATAATCAAAACACTAAACATGAGAGTAAAGAATATTACGAACTACAAATAAGTTACAAAGTAACATATAAAGGCAGACCTATCAGAATTACACCTGACTTCTCACTGGAGACAATGAAAGTGTTATGCAGACATTGAGAGACCACGGATGCCAGCCCAGACTATTATACCCACCAAAACTATAAATCACCATAGAAGAACAAAACAAGATATTCCATAAAAAATCTTGATTTCACCAATACCTAGCGACAAACCCAGCCCTTACACAAAATACGAGAAGGAAAACTTCAACCCAAGGAAGATGGCAATCATCGGTCATTAAAATTCCTTAATGTAAATTGACTCAACTCACCTATAAAAAGGCACAGGCTAACAGATTGGATACAAAAACAGAATCCATCCTTCTCTGCATATAAGGAACACATCTCAACCTCAAAGACAGACATTGTCTCACAGTAAAGGGTTGGGAAAAAATATACCAATAAAATGGTCCTAAGAAACAAGCATTTGTAGCTATCCTGTTATGTAACAAAATAGACTTCAAGCTAAAATCAGTCAAAAGAGACAAAGAAGGTCATTTCATATTAGTCACAGGAAAAATCCATCAAGAGGAAATCTCAATACTGAACATCTATGCCCTGAATACAAGGGCACCCTGATATGTGAACGAAACCCGTCTAAAGTTTAAATCATACATCAAATCCTACACAGTAATAGTGGGAGACGTCAACACTCCACTCTCACCACTAAGCAGATCAATCAAAAAAATGAACCGAGAAATAACAGAACTAACAGATATTATGACACAAATGAACTTAACAGATATTTATAGACTATTCCATCCAAACATAAAATATACCTTCTTCTTTCAACCTAATGGAACCTTCTCAAAAATAGACCACAGTAACAAAACAAACCTATAGAAATACAAAAAATTGGAATAACCCAATGTACCTTATCAGATAATCATGGTTTAAACTAGAAGTCAAAACCAATACTAATTCCAGAAAACTCACAATAATAGAAGTTAAATAATGCTCACCTGAATCATCAATGGGTCAAGGAAGAAATAAAGAAAGAAATTAAAGACTTCTTAAAATTCAATGAAAATGACCAAACAGCGTACCCAAATTTATGGGACACAATGAAAGCAGTGTTAAGAGAAAAGTTCATAGCACTAAATGCCAACATAAAGAAGCTACAAAAATCTCACACTAGAGAATTAATAGAACATTTGAAAACTTTAGAACAAAAAGAAGCGAACTCACTAAACAGAACTAGATGGCAGGAAATAATGAGAGCTAAAATAAAAACAAACAAACAAACAAAAAAAGATACAAAGAATCAGTGAGACAAAGAGCTGGTTTTTCAAGAAAAATCAACAAAATTGACAAACCCTTATCCAAACTAACCAAAAGGCAGAGAGAGAATATCCAAATTAACAAAATCAGAAATGAAAAGGGGGACATAACAACAGAAACAGAGTAAATACAGAGAAATCATTAGGCCGTATTTCGAAAGCCTGTACTCCACAAAATTGGAAAACTTAAAAGAAAGAGAAACTTTCTGGATAAATATTCCTTACCAAAATTAAATCAAGACCAGATAAGCAAATTAAACAGACCTAAAACTGCTTAAAAAAAAATACAAACAGTCATCAAAAGTCTTCCAACGAAAAAAACAAGCCCAGGACCAGATGGTTTCAGGTCAGAATTCCACAAGACTTTCAAAGAAGAACCAATACTCCTCAGATTATTCCACACAATAGAAACAGAAGGAACATCGCCAAACTCTTTTTATGGATCCACAATTACCCTGATACCCAAATCACACAAAGACATTACAAAGAGAATTACAGACTAATCTCACTCATGAACATTGATGCAAAAATACTAAACAAAACACTGCCAAATCCAACCCAAGAACACATCAGAACCATCATCCACCATGACAAAGTCGGATTCATCCCACAGATGCAGGAATGGCTCAACATATGAAAAACTATCAACATAATCCACCACATAAACAACTGAAAAATAAAAACCACATAGACATCTCATTAGATGCTGAAAAAGCATTTGACAAAATACAACAACCCTTCATGATAAAGGTCTTGGAGAGAGCAGGGATACGAGGAACATACCTAAACGTAATAAAGACAATATATACAATGGAGTACTACACAGCAGAAAAAAATACGACATCTTGAAATTTGCAGGAAAATGGATGGAACTTGAAAACATTATTTTGAGTGAGGTGACACAGACAAAGATAGACAATTATCACATGTACCCACTCACAGGTGGCTTTTAAACATAAAAAGAAAGCCGGATTACCAACATCAATTCCAGAGAACAATGAGGACACTAAGAGAGACTTACATAGATCCAATCTACACGGGAAATAGAAACTAGAAAAATACAATATCTCCTGAGTTAATAGGAAGCATGGGGACCTAAGAGGAAAGGTTGAAGAAGTAGGGGAGAGGCAGGGAGGGGAGCACAGAAAAATGTAGAGCTCAATAAATATCAATTAAAAAAGCATGGTGGTGATATTTATATTGATTGTAGATGACATGGTGTGTATCTTTAATTGATATTGTATAAAATAGATGGTACTATATCTATAAATGTATCTTTATATAAAATCTGGAAAGTTTGTGCTTGTCATTGTGAGTTTGGAAGGGTGGTATTAATGAGTACCTTCAATAAGACCAATGTGTTATAATAATCTGGGTCTCAGAATCAGTGTACTATCCTTGTTTGTCCTTCATAATAAAAAAAAATCTCAAGATTCACCCCAAAGATCCACAAATTCACAGGACTCTCCCACATTATTAACAACATTTCCACTCAGACCTATATACATCCACCCTCTGGATGGAGCTAGAAGCGCACTGTAACAGCCCAGTGGTCTTCTGTCTATATGATTTTATTTCATCCAAACTTTAATGTTCAGACCCAACTGAGGTCCGCAACTCTTCTTTCCCAGCCTGTTTTGACTACAACAAATGCAGAGCTGACAAAGAAAATCAATATACCTAGATCTCATCACATAAATAACAATATGAAAAAGCCAGTGTCTCCTCTCCAAAACCAAAATGTTTGTCAACAAGAATTTCCTAAATTCTAGAACACATTTTTTTTTTGTTTTTACAAAATTTTAAAGTATTGTAAACTTACTCAAATAATTCAAGAAATTTAAAGACACAACAAAATAACTCAATTTAAAAAAAAGAAAACCTGAGTAATAACCAAGAAAACAGAAAGAAAATTAAAGAGACAGAAAAGATGCAGACAATTGCTATAGGAATTCCCACTGCCAGTAAGTAGCCTTTCAGTTACCTGCCCACTTGGGCGTGGCCTCTTATACTATAATTGCTAATGTAAAGCAGGTGTCTAGCCTCTTTTCCTGATGTGGGATTCTACTGCTGATACCTGTTCGAGCAGAAGACTATAATCTGTTGAGTCTACCCTTAAATAAATAACTCTGTATTCTCAATTCATAGCTACTATGGGATTTCTTTTAACCATCTGTCTTCATCTGGTACCCCACATGGACTGGTTT